TATTCTTTGTGTTATTTTGAGCCAAAGGTCCCTGATTTTGTTTGATACACTCTTGAATTAGGAAGGAGAGTGGACATTTTTTCCTTATCCACCCTCTCAGTGCTTTTTTTTATAAACTTCTACCATTTTCCCTCTCAGTAGCCTCTTTGGAAAGCTGAAGAATCCTCATCAAGCCAGTTCTTATACATGATTCATTCCATACACTGAATTCACTTTCCAACCTCCTGCTCCATTTTCTACATTGCTGTTTTGCCCACTTTCTCTCTACCAGTGATGCTCATACATATTCCCTTCTGTAGACTCCCCTTAGTGGGGATGTAACTTTCACTGGAGAGATGATTCACGCTATTTAATTTCTTCAACCAGCTGATCATGAGTCACAAGAGCCTGTCAGAGGACCAGTTCTTTAGCTTGCTTACCTGGGAAGCAAAATTCTGCCTTTGTGTCCAGTGAGCTGATGGATCCAGAAAGTAGAAAACAGGGAAAATAGCTCTGATTTTAGTAGTAACATTTCTCCTGACTTTATGAAAGGTACAATATAAGAGCCCTGCACTGACCACCTGCTCTGAACACTCTTAGCAGGCTAAAGGTATCTCAGATATTCCCTTGGGACTTCTAGCCTCACCTCCATGTACTGCAAACCAAGCCTGGTGTGTGTCTTCCCCTTCACATTTTACAGAATAGTCAAGTCAAACATGGCAGCTTCTGCAGAGAACAAGAGTGAGCAAAGTGGGTAAAATCCATAATGGAGGGAGAGGATGCAGGAATCAAGGGCTTTCTTTCAATTTAATTCCATTGCAAGGCATCCAGATCAACAGACTATTGTCCAGACAGCTAAGGGTGAATTTGCTGCAGCCCATCTCACTGATGGCTTCTCTCACACCCTCCGCTTCTTCCCAGCATCCTGAGATAAACATGTATGTGGGCTGAGCTGCCTTACATTTACTGAAGGGTAAAAGTAGGTACACAACAGTATACCTTCTGCTCTTTATTTTCACACTTTAAGTTACCTCTTCTTAAGACAATGTTGTAGACCTTTGCCTACACACCAACCATGTCCCAGTTAACCATACAGATGGTGTATTTAGCGCACTGTGTTCTCCCAGGATGTGGACATAGTTCTACTGAGAGAAATGTCTTAAACAGTACAGCTCATTTTCATAGCTAGAAAGGGTATAAATGACTGTCTTTTCTTACATAATTTGCTGTTTTCTCCCACTCTTTACCTCCATTAGATCTTGCTTCCAGGAACTAGGAGGCATCTATTTCTGACTGCTAGCAATCTACTAGTTGGTAGGAAATTACTATGGAAAACGCAGACGCTGGTGTAGCCCTTATCCTTGTGGATGACTGGTTGAGTAGCTGAGGCTTCTCAAGCCTCATAACGAAAGATGGATTTATCTTATTAGACCTTAGAAGCTCCACTCTGTGAGTGTTGGCAAGCTGGACTAGTGTTCACAGAATCACAGAATCACAGGGGTTGGAAGGCATCTCAAGAGATCATCAAGTGTAACCCCTTGCTACAGCAGGTACACTACAGCAGGTTGCACAGGTAGGCATCCAGATGGGTCTTGAATATCTCCATAGAAGGAAACTCCATCACCTTTCTGGGCAACCTGTGTGAGTGCTTTGTCACCCTTATCATAAAGAAGTTCTTCCACATATTTGTGTGGAATTTCCTTTCTTCCAGTTGTTGGCCATTGCTCCTTCTCCTACCACTACAGACCACTGAAAAGAGTCTAGCCTCATCCAATTGCCTCCTGCACTTTAGATGCTTATAAACATTGATCGGATCTGCATTGGAGAGACATGGGTACACTTAGGACACAGTTCCCTTGAGCTATATTCAGTATTTCTTTGGACTGAGAAGGATCAAGCTTTGCATTTCGGTGACTGCACTGATGAGACCTGACTCTAGTATGAAGGGGTAGATGGTTAACCAGCTGAGAACTAGATGTTAGGTCAACTAAATCACACTTGAGATATCAAAATAAAAGGACAAGGACCTTCCAATGCTACCTTACCCTAGTCCCAGAAAATACTCTTGGAGCCAGCTTGCCAGTGTCCTGATCCTCTGTAGGGAGACAGATGGATGGCTGTCTAAGTCATTTAGCAGAAAACCATGCTTTTCTCCCAGGAAGCCTTCTTCTGTACCCACCAGTCCCTCAAGCTGGCCAAAATAATTGCTATCATGCTTCACACACACTTAAATAATGAAGAGCTATTTAATGGACTGCTCATAAGGATAACAAAAAAACACCGCTTGCCTGAAAATGGCTTAATTGTTTTCTCCCAAAGAAAAATCCTCTTTTTCAGAGAGCAAAATTATTCCACAGACTCTCCTACTACTTCAGTAGGAAACCTGAAAGAGATAGCAGCCGAAATCATCTAAGGCAGTCCAAGTGTAGTTGGATGTGGGCCACCAGATGATTCTTCTGGCCTGCTGCCCTTCTCCTGGGAAAGGCAGGGAGCAGATGTTGTAGCAGCACATAATAACCAAACAGCTGGGAAACTTCTTCCATACTTGGCATTCCAAAGGGACATTCCATAGTGGGACTTCTGTTTTTTTTCAGGTACGATTGTCGTAAATTCTGAGGGTTCTTGAAGGGATCTGGTAAATGCTTTTTGGTTGTTTTGTTTTCTTTGGAAGGGTTATTTATTTCTGCAGGATTGTTTTTCTTGGGATGAACAAATATTTTGCTGTGCAGGTTTGGAATACAGAAAAAATGGGTTCTGATGAGATTCTTCTGAGTAGTATTTAGCATCTATGTCTGATTTATTTACTCTTGAAATTATTTATACAGCATGGAAATCTAGCTTGGGGACTTATCCTTCATAAACATCCAAAGTAGGTGCAACGGCTGACATAATGAAAGCACTTCTCTGTCTTTAATTTAAAGAATGCACGAGGTGATTAGATTTTTAATTTATACTCTTTTTTCCAATTATATTTAGCAAAGTTACTAGAAGCTGGGAGATGTGGCTGCGGAAGTTGGTATAAAAGGAGAAAGAGAAAGTGCAAAGCAGAGCTTTTGAAAAGTCTAGATGATTATTTGGACTGTTCCACGATGCTTCCACAGAGCTGGATGCATTCATAATGTGCCTATGCATTCTTTGCATTCTTTTCTCAGGAGAAGGCACCTATGCAGCCATGGGGCTGTTATGATCCCAAGGGATAAGAGCAGGGCTGCCTCATGCAGTGCTTCTGCCTCTGGACTTACATCCCCTCAGCCTGCTCCACACAGGCTGAGAGCCATAGGGACTGTAACATACAAGTATGTAACTGAGTCACGGATATTCACATTGCATAGGTAATGGATTTAGTTGCTCCTCTGCATAAATTGCTTGGTTTTTATTTTGCTCAATCTGAGAAAAGGGTAAAGGCGAGGCAGATTTGAAATGAATTTGTATTCTAAGAAAGATAGAAGACAGAAAATGAAGGTGAAGGGTTCCCACTTTGGGAAGAACAACAGTATTGATATCCTAGCACTGGGAAATACTGAGGTGATTGGAAGAATCTTATCTGTGGGCAGTTGCTCCTGCAACACTGGAAATATGTGTTGGGATGCAAGTTCCATACCAAGTTCTTGACCTGGATCTGTGGGTCCTGAGAGAAGTATGGTTGACAGCTGCAAAAGCAGTGTGAGACAAAGTGTTTTCATGGGATATCCTGCCAAAGGGATCCTCTACTCCTGTTACAGCTGTTCAGATTCTGTTATTGATCATTTCCCAGATCTGGAGAGGTTTTATCCTTGAATGCTGCTCTCCGTAGAAGGGAACAGTGACAGGACACCCAAGATGGGACCCCTAGGGGACACCACTTATCACTGGCCTCCACCTGGACATAGAGTGGTTGACAACAACCCTCTGGCTGTGACTATCCAACCAATTCTCTATCCACTGAACGGTCTATCCTTCAGACCCTTATCTTTCCCGTTTAGAAAGGAGAGGAGGACATCCTTTCCATCAGCTCTGGGTGGATGTGGGCCAAACATCCATCTGCAAATGCCATTTAGAAAACACTGCTTAGAATGAGCTGCAGTGAGCTGCAGAGCTATGAGGGGCTGCAGGGCTGCCATGAGCTGCAGGGCTGTGAGGGGCTGCAGGACCACAAGAGGCTGTGGGGCCATAAGGGGCTGCAGGGCTGCTATGAGGGGCTGTAGGGCTGCACTGAGCTGCAGGGCTGTGAGGGAATGTAAGGCTGCCATGAGGGACTGTAGGGCCATGAGGGGCTGCAGGGCTGCCATGAGGGGCTGTTGGACTGCAGTGAGCTGCAGGGCCATGAGGAGCTGTAGGGCAATGAGGGACTGAAGGGCTGCCATGAGGAGTTGTAGGGTTGCCATGAGCTTCAGGAGCATGAGGGGCTGTAGGGCTGCCATGAGGGGCTGTAGGGCTGCCATGAGCTGAAGGGCCATGAGGGGCTGTAGGGCCACAAGGGAGCTGCACCCCAGAAGCCCTTTTGTTGTCTCCAGAGCACACTGTGGACTCACATCCACCATGCAGCCCCAGTGCCCCTTCTGTGGGGCTGCCATTCCTCATTCTGTGCATGCATCCAGCACTTGTTCCCATTAAATGTCCTGCTTCGCTTCCCCTCAGGTCCCTTTTGTCACTTCGCTATCGACTCTGCAGTTTGGGGAGAAGCTGCCTCACCTCACCTAGCACTCGCACCGCTTCCCATCCACGGGCAGTGCCTGCCTCCATCCACCCCATCACCCCGTTCTGCCGAGCCTGCCCAGCTAATTAAAACGAAATCAAGCGGCGGGGCAGCACAGATGGTGATGAGGGGACAGAGAGAAGGAGAAACCGGGAGAGGTAGAAGGGGGAAAAAAAAAAACAAATCAACAACTAAAAAAATACAAAACAAACGGGGGTGGTGGTAAAGTGCTTGATTTAAGAAACTCGATTTAATAAGCACCCCGCCTCCCTCCGCTCCTCATTGGTGCCTTCGTTCTCCTCCATATTAATGAAGAAACCTAGGAGAGGCGATTGGCTCCGCTTCTCTTTTGCTTTCTTCAGGCACTCGGGGGAGGAGGTGTTTGCATTTCTCTGCAGGAGCAGCTCGTTTTGCAGAGCATTGTCTGGGTACGAGAACCGCACGCACAGACAGACAGATAGATAGACAGACACACAGCGGTACGGGGGGAGCGCAGCACAGCCCCGACCCAGAGGCACACAGCATCCGAGCCGGCCAGAATCCCCTTTTCCTCCCCCCCCGCTTCCCGAGCGAGAATAACACTCCCTTAAAAAAAAAAGAAAAAAGAAAAAGAAAAAAAAAAAAGAAAAAAAAGATTCTTCAACCTCCCATCTCCTCCCCCCCCCCCCCCCCCCCAAAAAAAAAAAAAAAAAAAAGTTTGCAAATCTGCGGCTTGCCTTCTTGCCTTTTTATTATCATTATTATTATTTGGATTTAGGGATGGCAAATTCCTTCACGGCCGGGACCTGGCCCATCCCCTGAGCAAAGCAGCCTGGACATGACCGGCAGGCGAGGGAGGAGGAATTGTGATTCCCTCCGGAGGCTCCGACCCCTCCCTCCCCCCCTCCTCTCCTCCTCCGGCCGGTGCGAGCCCGGCGGGGGCAGCCCGGCTCCGGCCGCTCCGTTCCCCCGGAGCAGCTCCGCGTCCCTCCGGCCCCGCCCCGGCACGGCACGGCGGGATGCAGCATCTCCAGCACCGGGACGGATCCCTGCTGCAATGGTAAGTGCTTATCTCCGGCCTCTCCCGGGCTGGGGAGCCGCTCTGCTCGGGGATGCCCGAGAGCAGCTTCTTACAGCCGGCTCGTTTCGGAGTGACAGTGATTTATCGGCTTCTCCCTGATTTTCCCCATGTCCTGAGAATGCTTTTTTTTTTTTTGGGGGGGGGGGGGGAGGGGGGGGCGAACGGCGAGCAGGCTTTCTGCCTCCTGCCAGGCTCCGAGAATGCGGCCGCCAGATAGATGGGTTTCTTTCGGAACGAATAAATCTCCCTTTGCAAGCGGTGACAGGTTAACGTGCTTGGTATGAGGATCACGTCTGATTTTAACACAATATGGCTGGTAAATAAAACCTGATTGCTAACAGACCCGCTGTTGGCATTTTCAACCTCTACGCTACCTTTGCAGTTCTGCATCTTCACCTGCCACACAAACTCCAGTTCACCCTTCAGCCGGTGCACCAGGACTTTTCTGTTTTTACCGCGGGGTCGTAGTTAAAATTGCTGTTAATGTGGCTTTGACCTCTGCTTGCATGCTTCTGGGCACTTCTCCTTATCAGCATTGGAACAGCTGGCTCTAATACCAGTTTTATGCACAGCATATCTTAAGGGAGAGGGGTAGGCAGACTTTTTTGCATGCGAACAGTTCAGGTTATGTGCTGGAATCTGGAGAGTTCACTGCTAGGGAGTGGATAATGCAGCGTGGTGGTCAGGTGTGGAAAATGCATGAAAAAAGAGAGAGACAGATGTGTTTGGAGACGTAGTGGTGGTTGTGGCGAGATGATCCATCCCGCTGACTTAGGAGTACATTGGGAAGAACTCCCTGGGAGTCAGTAGCTTTCCTCTGCATCTGATCTGCTGGTAAACAGGACCTGGCCCTTAACGTGAAGCATTCATCGGAATTGCTCTGTAGGTAATTATGATAGTAATAAAAAACAGTCACCAAAACGAAGAAGGTGGCAAAATGACCTGGATCTTTCCCAGGGCATTATGGAGTGCCATCCTTCTTGTGTTTGCTAATTACAACGCATGTGTTGGACCGATGCTGTGACAGGCAATGTAATTGAAGATGTTTTTTTTTTTCTCCTATTTGTTGTTTATTTATTTGCTGTTTGTTTTAATCTGTCATTGTCAACAAACAGCAAATAGATTTTCGTCTGATGTTATTTGGGTCCAATAGCCATCTCGGTGCTGTGTTCTGCCTATGCCAGTCAGGAGATATTTCTGTGGTTAATCAGAGTGAATGTATCATTGCCTAAGGTTACTGTCAATGATAGCAGGAAGGTAAAATCCTTAAAGTGGTGTTGATATAGCTATGGATAAATAATTATCCATATGCATTATACAAGCATCCTTGGTTGATGTGAAACACGCTGGAGCTGCCTTGAATGAAGTTGTCCTGAAGGACGAGTAAAGCAACGCTGCTCCAATTTGATGGATAATTAAGGAATGCTATTCAGTGCAATAACAGCAGTTGGATTAAAGTTGATGTCTGCTTGTACCCTGGTTGTAGCTCTGGCTGATGGTTTTCTTATTGTTCCTATCGCTGTTTTTTCCTGTCTGTATGTTCTGAGAACAGGGGATGCTGCTTTGTTGTTCAGTCAGGACAGCTGTGATTGTTCTGTTGTCCTGGTGGCAATCTATCTTGGCCATCACAGAGAGCAGGGTTTGTGTTGTTTTGTTTTCTCCAACCAAGGCATGTGTGCAGCGACTGGAAGGATAACCATCGGCACTGAGCAAGCTCAGAGGTTGTGGGGGGCTTCTCAGAAAGCCAGTTACCTCAGACAGGGACTGGTTTTGTGCTTGATTCTTGGCTCCAGCCTTCCATTGGGGTTCCTGTGAGTAACCTTAAATCTCTCTGCAGATTTATGATGTCTGCTGTTTTCATGGCGGTGCCACAGCCGCCTGTAGCTCTGCTGATGTCAGTATGCATGCGAAGCTCATCAACACGAAGGCAGAACCTTTGTTGTAGGATGCTACCAAGGAGAGAAGCTCAGAGATCTCTGAAATGGTCACATTTAGACTTTTTTTTTTCATTGCATCTCTCTTAATTTGGCTGAGTGAGCCGGCATCCTGGAGATATTTTTTCTGGAGTTGAGTTCCATATGTGCCTACGCCTTTGATCAGTTGAGACCCATGTCCCCAGGCTGATTCATTTGAATATAGCAGATTTTGTTTTTCTTTCCTTCCTTCTGAGCACACTTAGTACAAACAGTCTAATTCCTAAATTAGCTCAGTTTATCTTCTGATGAAACCAGAATATTTGAGTTAAGAAACACAGAAAAAGTAAATACATGACACCATCACACTGTCTGTCATATATGACTGAAAGATATGCAGAAATATCCCATTTACTCCCATTTTTTTCCCCTGTGATTCTCAGGAGAGGTAAGCTGATGGCAGAATATAGCAGTCAGTGGAGATAAAGGGTTTACTTCACCCCAACACTTGGCCCAGAAACCAACCTTTACATCAACAGAGTATGTTTTTGCATTGGTTTCTGTTCCTTTATTTCCATTCCCAGTTCTCCTTGCACATCTGACATCTAAGCATCCTGCATCACTTGGGAAGGCAGTAGAGATGTGAGTGCGTGCTGAACTCAACAGGATCTTTCCACACCGATGCAAAAGTGCAACACATCTACCAAAAGGAGTGTAAATGCACCAGTTAGAAAGTCTCTCTTTCATCCTATCCACGACTGCAGTCATTTTTACTGATAATAAGTGGGCAAGGATTGCTTAACCTTCATTCAGAGTGCTGCTATCCTATATACTTGGCGTCCCCTGATGGGATACATTTACAGCTCTGCTCTGCTCTTAAAGTGCTTTGCATACAGAAAGGTATTTGGTTGTCGAGGATCACTGACAAGTGCTAGAATTGTGGTGGCTGTTGAAACAGATTGGATTGTTGTTGAGTGGGCACAAATACATGGGAAGGAAGGCAGACCTTTTTCAGAATGCTTTGCTGGTTGCACACACACAAACACTTTGCATGTGTTTTATTCTCCGGCCACCTTTTGCTTTCACAGTTTGTCCATCCAGCTTCTTTGGCTGTAAGCTTTATCTCCACAGAACAAACTAAGGACCCTTGTAAAACAAGACAGATTCTCTGAGTCTTGTTCACTTAATTCACTTCAATTCGTTTGCACTCAAGGCCAGGCTGGATGTGGCTCTGGGCAGCCTGATCTGCTGGTTGGTGACACTGCACATAGCAGGGGGTTTGAAACTAGATGATCATTGTGGTCCTTTTCAACCCAGGCCATTCCGTGATTCTACGACTGTATCACGACTGTATTCAGATGACGGCCTGATCTGTAGCATAACTGGATTAGTAATTTCAGGACACTAAAGCATTCCATTTCCTGAAGGAAAAGTGCAAACGCTGTAGCATGTAAAGCTGACATGGCTGTTGTGCTGGGAATATTCTTTTGGAAAGGAGCATAAACATAAAGGAGCAGTTGCAGGGACTGCTGTTTGATGCTCTGATTCTATGCTAGCATTGAATCCAAGCTCTCCTGACATCGTTGCACCTGAAATGAACTGATTGGCATTTAACATCAGAGTTTATCTGCCCTGGGGTCATCCCAGCAATCGCATTGCTGCTCATTCAGGTATCACTCTTGGGTGGGTTAGGATATCAGGGCGTGTGTTAGGGCTACGATCTCAAATTGCTCTGATGTATTCATTTGGCAGATTTTTAATTAATGTTTTTTAGAAGCGTGGACAATTCCACTTAAAATCAATGTTTAAAAAAAAAAAAAACCACAAATTTTATCAACAATTCTGCTTTGCATTATTGTATTTATTGTATGTATATGTATATATTGTATTTGCATTATTGTGACTCATAAGTCACCCTAAAACCAGCACTTAGAAAACTAAAAGGGGATAAGTGGTTGTATGGTTTAACTCTCCTTCTTCCTAATAATAGTTCTGGGAACAGTGATTATAATATTTCTGTTTATAACATGTTGTGGATGGGAAATTTTGAAGTCTTAAGAGCTGAACAGGTAACGTGGTGAAGGTTGGTTTGTCTGCTGTTGAGGTAGTCCACAAAAAGCCATTGTGATTAGAGAATGATGGGCCACAATTGCTTATGAGCTGCAAATGGAAGGATAATTATAGGCTGTTATCTGTGATTTGTTGGCCCTGCTAAGTACTGCTGAGGGTTAAGGAAGGAAAAGTCCTTTCCATGTGTATGGTGGGTTAATAGCCCAGGTTTTTATTCTTTGCTTCCTCGGGATGAGACGTTTTGCTGCTTTTTTCTCCCTCCAAGGACAAAATACCTGACTTATTGGGAATTCTTAAGGACAATGTCTCGTCGAATGGAAACGTGGCAATATTGAGTTGCCCCTTTTCAGGGAGCAGGCATGTAATGAGGTGTAAATTGCCCCACTCTCCATGTGAAATCATGGCCATAAGGGATCCCTTACTGAGCTGTCATTCATTTCACTTGGAGGAAGGCTTTCACTCACAAGTGTTGGGCAGTCGGGGCTGACTTCTGTCTATCATAGAATCACAGAATGGCCTGGCTTGCAAAGGACCACGATGCTCATCCAGTTCCAACCCCCTGCTGTGTGCAGGTCACCAACCAGCAGCCCAGGCTGCCCAGAGCCACATCCAGCCTGGCCTTGAATGCCTGCAGGGATGGGGCATCCACAGCCTCCTTGGGCAACCTGTGCCAGTGCCTCACCACCCTCTGGGGGAAAAACTTCCTCCTCATATCCAACCTAAACCTCCCCTGTCTCAGTTTAAAACGATTCCCCTTTGTCCTATCACTATCCACCTATGTAAACAGTCTCCTCTCACTTAAGCATCTGAAATCAGATGGGCCCAACCAGACTAATCCCACACCCCTGTATTATCAGTGGGCAAGGTGCATCATCTCATCCCGACGGGGTCGGATGAATCCCTCTGGAGGGGTTCCTGCAGCACAGAGCTGTACATGCTGAATCAGCCATGCGGTCCCGTGCTATCTCAGAGATAACCCTCTGAAGGATAATCCTT